TTTTTTATTTCAGCTCGTGGTCTGGACATTCCTTCAATTAAGACTGTCATTAACTATGATGTGGCACGAGACATTGATACCCATACTCATAGGATTGGCCGCACAGGACGAGCGGGCGAGAAGGGCGTGGCTTATACCTTGCTGACCCCCAAGGACAGCAATTTTGCTGGTGACCTTGTCCGGAATTTGGAAGGAGCCAATCAGCATGTTTCCAAGGAACTCCTAGATTTGGCAATGCAGGTGAGGGGCTGGGCACACTTCAGATTGCTGCAAGTGGTAAAACTAAGTGAAAGAAATTGAACAAGCCTGGGGCAGGTGACATAGAAGCATGTCAAGAAAGGGAGTGGGGTGGAGACGATAGTGCTTATGAGGTATTGTGGGACATTTAAATTCGTTTGGTCTGTCTGCTCATCCTCTCCATTCAGCAGCATCTGTGTTGAAAAGCTATTCTTTGTGTTAAAATCTGTCCTTCAAATTTCTATCTACTTGTCCCATAGCACACACGAGTAAATGTAATCTCAGAGATGGCTACTATTCTCCTTATTGCCCTCCCCGCAAATAGCCTTCTCTGTGGTGGAGCGCTAAAAATGTGTGATGTCTTTAAAAAAATGATATATTTCACTATTCCTCAGACTTAGATCTCAGATCTTTGACTACACTGATTACCAATCTATAACAGCATTCTACCGAATTAAATCTTGAGCTATGTTAATATATGCAGTCTCCAAATTACAGATGGGCTTGGGATACACGTTCTGATAGTAGACACTTAGGTATTTTTCAAATTCATAGGCCAGCCACCAGCACAGCTAACCCATAATGCAGTTGTAGGGTGGTCCTGCCCATGCTTCAGGCATAGGAGTAAAGGACCTGTGTCGCCAGAGAGTAGAGTACTGTTTCCTTCCCTTTCCTGGGTATAGACAGCCAATCCTAAACTAAAAATTTGAACATGATACATTTTGTTTTTGGCATTTCCTTCATCTCTTTTTGTGCCTCAGACCCCCTGTGCTCTCAGACTATGATCAGCTTCCCTGATCAGCACCTTTTTCAAACCTGCCCTGCCTTTCAGGAACTTCACTTTGACTCTAAGGTGTGACTGTCAGATAAAGCTCTGGCCTCCCCCAGAGTTGTCTGCATTCTGAAGAGAACGTGCCTACATCTGATCAATAATATTCTGGCAGTGATCAGTGAGAACTTTTAGGCTCTGTGGGGAAATAAAATTTTCAGTTCTGTGGCTACCAGTCCTGGGCCTCTGCCCCTAGAGTCAGTTCTAATAAACCTCACTTTACATAGTTTTTTCCCTTTTCGTCCAAACCCACTAATTCTTTATAAGCTCCGTTTTTTTGTTTTGTTTTTTTTTTCATGTCCAATGGTATATATAGATTTGAAAAATAGAAATTCATTTTCCTCAAGGAAGTTAGAAGTAGCCAGGGTAACTGATCACTTCCCTTTCTGGAGTCCCTGGAGGAAGGAGCAGCAGTAAAGGAAGCCTTAGATAGGGATCTAAGTCTGATGACAAACGATAGTTTAAACTGTCAAAAAGGAGCGAATCTGTAGTTCCCATGAACAGTTCCTTCCTTGCCATAAATACATTGGCTAAAGATGAAGCAAAAAGTTCTTCCCTCCCACTTAGTTTCCTCTTTGATCTTGCCCTCTTCCTCTGGCGGCTTTTCCAACCCCCCGGTTAACTTTGAATTATGTTCAATGCAGAATGCCTGGTTTCGGAAATCCCGCTTCAAAGGAGGGAAAGGCAAAAAGCTGAACATTGGTGGAGGAGGCCTAGGCTACAGGGAGCGGCCTGGCCTCGGCTCTGAGAACACGGTGAGTCTATGCTATAGCGGAGCCCTTAGGGCTGGTCCTGAGTCCTGGTTGATGTTAAGACTCGTCTGCTCTACCTGAGAAAACATCACTGAGTTCAGAACCCTGTCTAGAAGGGAGCTTGTGTTTCATCTGCTGGCTTGAGTCAGTATAATGTTGGTTCTTAATGTTGTGATAGTCTGTTGAAGAAGTACCTATGTGTACTTGACCGACTAGGCGTGCTCAGGAAATCATTCTAGCTAATCTAGCATAGATTAGCAGTGGTACTCAGACTGGTTTCTGGACTAGCAGCAAATGAAACTCGTGTCCTGCCCCAGACCTGGTGAATCAGAAATTCTTAAGGTGTTTCTGATTTTACAAGCCCTCCAACAGTGGCTGGAGCCTGCTACTAGGAACACATTGCCACAGGTTCACTCTAAACTCGAGCTATATCTTGTAAATAAACTCAGGAATGATTTCTACACTCTCTGGGAATTGCATCAAAGACCAATGAGAGCTAGCTTTTCTCACAAACCAGGTAACACAAGTTTCCACTGGCTGGCTTTCTTAACTGCCTGTTTCCTGTCGCTTCCGATTTCTAAGCCAAGGAAGAAAACTACCAGGCTGCATTTCTGGAGCATTATAGTGAACTGGTGTCTCTGATAAATCAATAATTGTTCCCCACAGTACAGTCATGATGATGCAGATGACGCAGATGATAGTGATAGCTAATACTGAGCACTCACTATGTGCCAGGGCCATTCCAAGCAATCACATGTGAACTCAGTCTTCACAGCCACCCAGTGAGAGTAAATATAGATCGTAAAACTGAGGCACCCAAGGTTACACACGGTAAGTGTTGGGCTGAAGTTCAGACACTTAAAAGGGTCTAGATTCAGAGCCTGAGCTGTTCTGCCTTGTGGCCTATTCATCTTGAATATAATTTTTACATAATTACATAAACATGTTTGTTTGTGTGTATAAGTATCACCACATATCAGCTTTGGGTATAATCTAACCTCATTTCTAGTAACTTTCTAAAAATGCCCATTCTGACTGCAGCTCTCACTCGTGTTTTCAGTATAGAGGCCCAGTCTGTGGCAGTGGGCTTTCCTACTTTTCTTCCGTCTTCATGGGTCTGTTTATCTTTTAGGAGCGAGGAAATAACAACAATGTAATGAGCAACTATGAGGCCTACAAGCCCTCCACAGGAGCCATGGGAGATCGGCTGACAGCAATGAAAGCGGCTTTCCAGGTCTGAGATAACATTTAGCTGAAAGCTTCCAATAGTAACTCTTGGGCAGTGATGAGGCGGCCTCGTCTTGAGATAGTATCTGGGTTTGTAGGCTCAAGCTGAATTTAGAGCCTTCTCACTGCTTTCAGTTTTGATAAACTTGACTGTAACTTACTTAGAGATGCAGGTATAGAGACCAGAGAAACCCCTCTTGCTGGTTCTCTGCTTCAGTCACACCCCAAGCCTGAGACGATTGTACTACAGCAGGGTTGGTGTTCCCTCCCTGCCCCAACAGCCTACAGTGTTGCCCACCTCCAAGGCTATTATAATCTGGTTGAGAGTAATTGCTATTTTTTTAGCCAAGTTTGCTTCTGTATCTCTTGTGAACTATGAGCCCATCTTCCTTCTACACTTATCCCTCCAGTTAGCTAGCTGGCCTTAATTTACACATTTTATCCATCTCCAGATTTTCAGTTAGGTCCCAAGATTTATTCTTTTTCATTAATAGAGGATCAGAGAAACCACAGGATCATGGGGCCATCAGGATGCTTAAGGGCACGGTGCCAAGACAGCATGGATACTATCGTGTGTGTGAACACACAAGTTTCTGTATACTTTATCATTACCAAGTTTATATATTCACATTTCTTGAACTTACTGTTTTACCTATTCCTGTTGTCTCTTTTAGTCACAGTACAAGAGTCACTTTGTCGCGGCCAGCTTAACCAACCAGAAGGCCGGAAGCTCTGCTGCTGGGGCAAGTGGATGGACAAGTGCAGGGAGCTTGAATTCTGTTCCAACTGCTTCAGCCCAGCAGGGCCAAAACAGTCCTGACAGCCCCGTTGCCAGTGCCACCAAGGGCATCCCAGGCTTTGGCAATACTGGGAACCTCAGCAGTGCCCCAGTGACCTATCCTACTGCCGGACCCCAGGGAGTCAACAACACAGCTTCAGGGAGTAACAGCCGAGAAGGGATTGGGGGTGGCAATGGGAAAAGAGAGAGATACACTGAGATTCGGGGTGGCAGCCGTCATAGTCACGGAGAGAGTGGCGGTGGGAATCGGCATGGTGACAGCCCGCGTCATGGAGATGGTGGTCGCCACGGAGAAGGGTACCGATACCCAGAAAGCAGCGGGCGGCACGCAGACGGTCATCGCCATGGGGAGAACAGGCATGGAGGAGGTGGAGGTCGACACGGGGAGAACCGAGGTACGAATGATGGTCGGAATGGTGAAAGCAGGAAAGAAGGTTGTAACCGTGAGAGCAGAATGGACCCAAAGGTGGACAGCAGCAAGGTGGACAAGATGGACAGCAAGACAGATAAGACAGCCGATGGCTTCGCCGTCCCCGAGCCACCCAAGCGCAAGAAAAGTCGATGGGACAGTTAGATGGTATGTGAAGTGTGAAATCGTCTTTAATTTTGAGAAAGATTTTTGATAACTAAGTGTCTCAGGGCTGGGTTGGGGCCCAAGGTGTAAGGACCCCCTGCCCTTAGTGGATAGCTGGAGCTTGGAGACATTACCCCTTCGTCAGAATCGGGTTTTTTTTTTTTGTTTTTTTTTGGATGCTTTCTTGGGAAGCTGCTTTGGTCCTCAGAAGCAGTGAGCTGGGAAGTTTCTTTTGGCTCTGGGTGAGTTGTGAGGGTCAGGTGAGAATACCTTGGAATAAAGGGCCTTAAAGGGTACAAAACGTACTTTAGGTTTGTATTATATTGCAGTGTATATTTTTTACTAAAATGTCACCTTATAAACATCTACAAGTAAAGTTTTTTTTCTTAGCTATGTGGCCACACATCCCCTTTAGGAGTGGCTTCTGCAAACCCAATCCGTTGCTTGTTAGGGATATTTGGGAAGCACTTGGGCGCTTCCAGACCTTTGCAGGAAAGGGAGGTGCCTGATTCCAAGTGGGAGTCAAAGCTCAGGTTCCCCATCCAGGTCTGTATCCAGCCCTGAGACCCAAAGCAGCAGCCTGCCTGACCCAGAGCCGCTACCATTTGAAGGGGAAAGGATGGCCCTAAAACCAGGATCGCTCCAGGTCTGAAATGTTTGCTAAATTTAAAAAACAAACCCAACAGCTTTTAACTGTCTTCTATTCTCCTGTTTTGTTGTATTTTTTTTTAACTTGCCACATGGTAGAAGAATCTTTTGCTGAAATGATTTTGATGATTTTTTTTTCAATCTTGTTTATAAAAGAAATATACTTCGAATTTTGTGACTTTGTGAAGTTTTCTTTAAGATGTGCATTCCTTTCTGCTTGCTCTAGTAAATGTTTTACTACTGGGACCTGTGGATTGTTTGTCATTTCTACTTCCCGAGTCAGTAAAGTATGCTTTAAAACAGTGCAGCACGAGTTACCACTTAATGGGAACTAAGCTGTCAGACATCTATCATCACGGCTTTATTCAGATAATGGAAGAGGATGGGGCAAGACTTGAGAGGCCCACTTGCCCAAGAATGGACTAGAATGACTGCCGCCCCAACACTAAACTTCCCCCGTGACTTAAAGGTATGGCTTTTCATCTAGTCCCCACATTCTTCATGAAAGGTTGTGGGGTCTGTTACAGCACTAACAGGAGACCTTCCCTCAGGCAGAGGATGTCGTCCTCAACACTCAGGACCACCATGCGAGTTCTAGGTACCCCATCTCACTGTCTTTTCAGATGACTGTGATGCAAATGAGGGTAGGGCTCCTCCTCGTCCATACGCTGCCTTCTCAGAGGCCCCAATGGCTCTGCTCACTTCCGCCTGGTTTTCTTCTTCTGCTCCTTCCGTTGCTGTGCTCTTTGGTCCTTCTTCATCCTTGAATCCACCACCTTAAAATGACCTCTGACTCCAGCTGGCCGGCGCACTTTGCGGCCCACACCTTTTTTGGCTACAAGGTAGGTGACTTGGCGTTTCTCCTTGCCAAGCCCAGCCTTCTTATAGAGACTGAAAATGGAAGAAACAGGTTAGAGGCTTTCTGGCACTTTTTAACCCCAATGTACCTTTGTTGGGTGACCTCCCCCCATTACCTTCGGAGCTGGGCCACTTTCTCTCGTTCTGAGATGTCCACCGTATTCACCACGGCTTCTGCCTTCTTCTTGGTTTGCTCCAGCTTCTTCAGCATCTGTATGAGGACCTCAGTCAGGCTGGCCTCCCCACCCCTGCCCCACCCACCCATCTCAGGCAGCCCTGCCACTTACCCTCCGCTTCTTTCTGGCTTTAGCCTCAGCCACTTTCTTGATGGGCCGCGCATTGATTTCCCGCCAGCGTTTCCGGTAATGCGCCACCTCCTTCTTGTCAATAGGCAGTTGTCGTATCCTGTGCTGCTTTTCTTCCTGCACAAACCACTCTGGAAGCTCCCCCTCCTCCTCATTAAATGTATACCTAGGCGGAGAGAACACCAGCCCTCATGACCACTCCAGTCTTTCTAGAGAAGAAACCATCACTTACCCAACCCCACCCTGGGTCACCTCTCAGTATTTTCTGGCCTCCTTACCGGTTGAAGGAGTTATCTATGAGGTCTCTTTTGGCCTTTTTGGAAGAGGCAATAACAGCACCTAAAGCAAGGCCTTCAGGGTCCAGTATCCGATGTTTCACTAGAGGGAAGGAGTCAAGTCCATGCTCAGTTTCCACACTGAAACTTTTACTGTCCCCTTCCATTCCTCTGGGTGCAGACCCACTCTCACCTGGGTCCTCGATAGGCACTATTTCAAACCCGTCATCATCTGACTTAGGCTCACGGCTTCTCTTCTTACGGCAGTGTGGTTCCCAACTGTGGAAGAGGGGAGGACCGTGCATGAATGCCCCATCATTCCCACACTACTCAGACCCACTCCGCCTCACCGCAACCCTGGTCCCTGACTTAAAACTGCTTGGGGAACTTCTGGAAATCCGGTCACCCAGGCTGTAGTACAGACCACTTAAATGAGAACCATCAGTATTTTTAAAGCTCTTGATCTACAGCTGAGGTTGAAAACTCCGACTTAACAGAAATGGTTAGAACTGCTGCTTCCTCTTCATCCCGTTTCCCATCAGCTGCAACCACTCACCTCTCTTCATCCTCACTGCTGCTATCACTGTCTGAGCTGTCATCTCTTTCTTGACCCCCTGGGCCGGTGGCACCCTCTGTCCCCAATGGAGCCTCTGCCTCCTTAGGGGCCTCAGGGGCCTCATCCTGGCACTGGGGAAGTTTTCTCTCAGCCTTCACACTGGAAGGTGGTGGTGGGGATGGCTGTGGCTGCGGCTGCTTCTTCCGCTGGCTCTCATACAACAGCTGGGCCTGACTGATCTCCAGGGCCTCGTCAGCATCATCCTCAATCCCACGGAAGCCATCCTGTAATGGGGGTCGTCAGCCACCCTTCTCCCGGGAATGCCAATTCCCTCTCTGTCTTGGCCCCCAGCCTCCTCTTACCTTTGAGAACCACAGGTTGGCTTGTTCTTCCTGCAGAACCGCCTTTTCCTCCAATGGTACAAGCAGTGGATTCTCTTCTTCCTCCTCCTCTTTATCATCTGCTTCTGCAAATCGTACACTAGATCGAGCAAAGTGGGTGGAGGGTCAGTGCCCCGGGGAACTTGCCTGCCACCAGCTCAGCTTCAGCACTCGAGCTGCAGGGCCCGCATGTGTCCGGCACGCCCCAGCCCCCACCTTACCGCTTTGGGTCCTTTAGACTCTGAGGTCCTGCGACTCCTGCCAGTTCCTCTGAATCTAGGTCACTATCCAGAGATGCGTCATCGTCATCCTCAACATCTGATATATAGATGTCATCTCTTGGCAGGTCGGACAGAAACGTGTCTGCAGCACTCATATCCCCTTGTGTTACCTCCTCTAACAACTGAAGTTCGACAGAAACAGATCAGGGGCTATTATCTCCTTTTATAGAGGGAAGTGATGGGGCTGTTTAAAACATCCCATTCTAGGCCCAGTCACTGATCTGTCCCACTCAGCTGTCTCTCGTCTCCAATGGTAGCAGAAATAGGTTTATGGAAAAGTACCCTACCGCCTGTGTATTTATATAGCATCAAATCTTACAATATTCTCAAACTGGTTTTTCTCAAGCCACCTCACCTTCTGAGAATAATACAATCTACAGATCTAATTTGTTTCCACTGAATTAAAGGCTCAAGCAGCATCTTTCTTTTTTATTCTTTGCCAAGCCTTAGGCAGTTAGGTTCTATTTTTTACAGATGAGGGAACTGAGGCAAAGAATGGCTAAGTGGTAATCTGCTCTAGGACCCCCTATGCTCTGCTGCTTCTGTACAACAGAGATGACCTGGTTTTCCATCTCACACACAAGCTCACTTTGCTCGTGACACAGCTTTTATAAGGAAAAGCAGCCTCCACTGGCAGACAGCACCATCCCGTGGCTAAGTGCACCAAGGTGCTAACCTGGTCTCACTGAACTAGAGGACGCTGTTCCACACAGGGAAACCCTCCATCACCTGTGCTGGTAACCCAGGTACCCTGGCTGCATCAACTAACCCAGCTTCTTGCAAAGACTGCCTCTTTGTTCTTCTATTCTTACGTATTATATGCATACATATATAATATTCTTAGGTTCTAGTTCTATGTCACACTTACAAATCTCCCTAATTTCATCACATGCGGTGTATAATCCTCCCAAGGTGAGGCCTTTGAGACACAAGGCTCCTGTTTCTTTCCCAATCCCCCTCACCAAGTCATGTATTTATAGGTGAAGATAGCAACCGTGAGCCATGCAACACACTTAAGACATCCAATCCCCATCCCCCTTCCAAATACCCAAACTGATCTCTCCTCTCCTCACTACGTCTGCGCGCCTCACCTGGTGACCGCGGATGGTGCGCAAGGAGAACATGCCCGTCTCCCCCTCGTCTGCAATGGAAACCCCGGGAAGATCCATCTTCAGCTCCACACGCTCCCGCTGCTTTCTCTGCTCACGCAGCAGTTTCTTTTTCTTCCTGAGGGGTCAGTGTGAGGAATTTACACCTGCCCAGCCCTGAAGACTCCCCATTCACGCCTTCATTCTCTTCCCCCCTCTCCACACAAGCAGCTTAAGCTCCTCCCCAGCTCCCCTCACCTCTTTAATTCTGCCACCTCCTGGGCCTTCATCTCTGCCAGGGTCCTGTTCAGCTCTTCCTCCTCTTCCTCCTCCTTGGAAGGCTGCCTCTCAGCCCCAGCGGTTGACTCCTCCTCACCTTCTTCCTCTTCCTCCCCCGAGCTGAGGCTGACAGAACAGTTCCAGGAGTTTGGTTCTCTTCCCAAGCACTTGCCCCTCACCCGCTCAACCCCTACCCTGCGTTGGTCCCCTCCTCCTCACCTGATGTCCAGCGCCTTTGCTTGCTCTTTCAGCTTCTTGGCCACATACCGCCGAAGCTTCGTCCTCCAGTTCAGCAGGGACCTGCCCCAGAAATACCATTACTGACCTGTCTCCCTGTGCGTTCCTGCCCCCGTTTTAGGCCTACACTCCAAATTTCATGTTTGAGTCACGTAAGTCCTAGGGCTCAGGTCCCTACCCCAAACCTCTAGCCCAGCACACAGCATCCTGTGCCCAGAGATACAACATCATGGCCTTCAAAGGCCTTTCCCTGCCTTTGGGGCTCCTGGCACCTACACCTACCCCCACCACATACCTAAGCTCCTTGCGGCCCAGCACTTTGATATCCTGACAGCACACCCGTATGTCCTCAGTGGTAGCTGGATGCTGTGCCAACTCTTCATCATCTAGTGAGATCTGTTTGGGAGGAGGGAAAGGAGTCAAGGGAAATTTTCAGGCCACATTTCGGGGGCTCCCTTAGACCTCTCAAGTCTGAGGACTCACTTCGCTGGCTTTGGAGAGGAAGTCAACAGGGTTGGCAGCTCGGAGGAAGTCAGTGACGGAGGTACGGTGATAGAGAGTGAGGTCACCCTCAGCATAGCCTTCAGCCTTAGGGAGGGAAACAAAGGAGGTTCAGCGGTCTCTTCTGAGGTGTCTGTAGGACCCACCAGCCCAATCTCCCCAGAGTTGTAGGACCTGAGGGCCACATTCCCCAAATGCACCTTTGGTTTCTTCTTAGTCACCAATTCGGTGACAGTCTTCGCCTGGACTTCAACCTCCTTGAAGGCAAATTTGGGATCAAAGAATTTATTGTCAACCTTGTCAGGAGCCAGGAATCCTAAGATGGTAAGATATATCAGAAAGTGTGCTTTGGTAGTTGGGAGACTTGAGTCAAGAGAAAGAAGGGAAGGGTGCTCACCCTGGCAGACTACAAAGATCTCTGCAGACTCATGGCGAGAGGCTTGGGGCTTGGTGGCCTGGACGTGGCGGAACAGCTGCTGGAAGATC